CCACAAAAGCTCCTGTCTGGTGCCGGCCCTCACAAAACCAGCCCACAAGCCCTTGGTCGCCCCTTCTTCTATCCCAGACAAGGGCTGGTCGGGGAAGCCTCCACCTGCTGTTTGGCGCAGGGCTATGCAGAGACAGAAAATCATCTGGCAGGGAGCAGCTTAGCAAAGGGGCTCTCACGCTTTGGGAACCCCAGGGAAGGGGCTGGGTGCCGAGGGTGAGTGGGGAGCAGGGCGGGGCGGGCCTGGTGACTGCAAGCCGGGAAGAGAGGCAGCTTCTAGCGGGAAGTGGGACGAGTGTTCAGCCAGCGGCTACAAGACTGTGGTCTGTTTTTGGTGAAGGCGTTTGTTCTATTGAATTAAAACTGCCAGTTTTCTTTTCTTTCTTTCTTTTTTTTTTTTTTTAAATGTTTTTATTTATCTGTGTGAGAGAGAGAGACAGCATGAGCACGGAAGGGTCAGAGAGAGAGGGAGACACAGAATCGGAAGAGAACACATTTGCAAATGACATATCCGATAAACGGTTAGTATCTGAAATCTACAAGAACCCATACAACTCAACACCCAAAAAGCAAATAATCCAATTAAAAATGGGCAGAAGATATAAATAGACATTTTCTCTAAAGAAAACATAGAGATGGGCCAAAACACAGATGAGAAGATGCTCAACATCACTCATCATCAGGGAAATACAAATCAAAACTCCAATGAGATATCCCCTTACACCTGTCAGAATGGCTAAAATCAACACAAGAAACAAGAGGTGTTGACGAGGATGTGGAGAAAGGGGAACTAACTCTCCTGCAAGTTGGTGGGAATGCAAACTGGTGCAGCCACTCTGGAAAACAGTATGGAGCTTCCTCAAAAAGTTGAAAATAGAACTACCCTACAATCCTGCAATTGAATTACTAGGTATTTACCCAAAAGATAACAAAAATACTAATGCGAAGGGATATATGCATTCTGATGTTTACAGCATTATTTACAATAGCCAAATTATGGAAGAAGCCCAAATGTCCATGGACTAGTGACTAGATAAAAAAGATGTGAGCGATTTTATATATACATATATATAAAGGAATATTACTCAGCCATAAAAAAGAATGAAATCTTGTCATTTGCAATGACATGGGTGGAGCTAGAGAGTATAATGTTAAGTGAAATAAAGCAGAGAAAGACAAATACCATATGATTTCACTCATATATGGAATTTAAGAAACAAAAAAAATGAGCATGGGGGAAAAAAAGGAGAGAGGCAAACCAAGAAACAGACTCTTAACTGTTGAGGACAAACTGATTACCAGTGGGTTACCAGTGGGAGGAGGTGAGGGGATGGGTTAAATGGGTGATGGGGATTAAGGAGTGCCCTTGTGGGGTGCCTGGGTGGCTCAGTTGGTAAAGCGTCTGACGTCACTTCCGGTCATGATCTTGTGGTTTGTGGGTTCAAGCCCTGCGTCGGGCTCTGTGCTGACAGCTCAGAACCTGGAGACTGCTTCAGATTCTGTGTCTCCCTCTCTCTCTGCTCCTCCCCTGCTCATGCTCTGTTTCTCTCTCAAAAATAAACAAACACACACACACACACACACACACAAAAAAGAGTGCCCTTGTGATAAGCAGCACCAAGTATGTACGGAAGTGTTGAATCACTAAAGTGTTCATCTGAAACTAATATTACACTATACATTAACTAACTGGAATTTAAATAAAAACTTAAACAAATAAATAAAACCACTTAGAAAAAAGTTGTAAGAAAAAATACATAACATAGAATTAGCCATTTAGCCACTTTCAAGTGTACCGTTCAGTGGCATGAATCAAATTCACAATGTTGTGCATCCATCATCATGATCTATTTCCAAAATTTTTTATCACCCCAAACAGAATCCATATCTAGTGTGCAATAACTCTGCATTCTCAGCTTCTGGGAACCTCTAATCTACTTTCTGAATGAATTTGCTTATTCTAGATATTTCATACAAGTGGAATCACACAATATTTGTCCTTTTGTGTCTGGCTTATTTCACTTAACATAATGTTTTCAAGGCTCATCCATGTTGTAGTGTGTGTCAGAATTACCTTTTTATGGCTGAATAATACTCTTAGATCTATACACCATTCGGCCGTCCATCCACTCATCTGTTGACGGGCATTTGGGTTGTCGCTACCTTTGGCTATTATGAATAATATGGCAATGAACATTAGCATCTGAGTATCTGAGTCTCTTTTCAATTCCAGTAGGTATATATTGGTGGTTCATAGGGTAATTCTGTTTAGCTTTTTGAGGAACTGCCAAATTGTTTTCCATAGTACTTGCACCATTTTACATCCCAACCGGTGTCATTTGAGGGTTACAATTTCTTCACATCTTTGCCAACAGTTGTTCTGTTCTTTTTTTTAATGTGTATTTATTTTTGAGGGAGAGAGAGACAGAGTGCAAATAGGGGAGAGGCAGAGAGACAGGGAGACAGAATCCAAAGCAGGCTCCAGGCTCTGAGCTGTCAGCACAGAGCCCAATACAGGACTCGAACTCACACACTGCGAAATCATGACCTGATTGAAGTTGGCCGCTTAACTGAGCCACCCAGGCGCCCCTAGCATAATGTTTTTGAGGTTCATCCATGTTGTAGCATGTACCAGTATTTTCTTCCTTTTCATGGCTAAATAATATTCCAATGTATGGCTATACCACAATATGTATATCCATTCATCCATTGATGGACCTTTGGGATGTTTCTACCTTTTGGCTATTATGAATGATGCTGCTATAAAGATCTGTGTATAAGTTTCTGTGTGGACACGTGCCTAGGTATAGAATTGCTCAGTTATATGGTAATTCTATGCTTAGCCTTTTGAGGGATCACCAAACTTTTCCACAGCAGCTGCACCATTTTGTAATTATGATTAGCAGTGTGTGAGCATTCCCATTTCTCTACCTTCTTGCTGACACTTGTTATTTCCATAAAAATGTATCTGTCCCTATGTTTATATCTCCAACTTAGTATGAAGTGGTATTTCATTGTGTTTTGTTTTGTTTTTTTTTAAATGTTTTATTTATTTCTAGGAGAGAGAGAGAGAGAGCGTGAGCAGGGGAGGGTCAGAGAGAGAGGGAGTCACAGACTAAAACAGGCTCCAGGCTCCGAGCTGGCAGTCAGCACAGAGCCCGACGCGGGGCTCGAACCCAGGAACCGTGAGATCATGACCTAAGCGAAAGTCGGACGCTTAACCAAGCCACCCAGGCGCCCCTTCATTGTGGTTTTTAAAAATCTTTTTCTAATGTTTTATTTCTGAGAGAGAGAGAAAGAGAGAGAGAGAGAGAGAGAGCATGAGTAGGAGGTCAGAGAGGGAGGGAGACACAGAATCTGAAACAGGCTCCAGGCTCTGAGCTAGCTGTCAGCACAGAGCCTGACATAGGGCTCGAACCCATGAACCTTGAGATCATGACCGGAGCCGAAGTCGGACGCTTAACCGACTGAACCATCCAGGCGCCCCACAAAAAGGTTTTTCTTGACTTCCTTTTATATTTCATTCCACCTTCCCACTAGAGGAAAGAAGTTAATCTTATTTTTTTTTAAATTCCCCCCACAATACATTTCTGCACGAGTATCTTTCTATTATATTCCCTAGGCATTTAGAAACCTGGGGTTAAGATCAAAAGCTTACTGCCTAATTCTGTTTGCTCTGATAGTTCAAGGGTATTTTAACACTTGCCGCAACAGTTCTTAAATCTTTACTCAAACTGCCCACTACCCCCGCCCCCCCGGGTAAAGAGGGGGCCGGGGAGGAAGGACTGCACAGAAGCTACTCAGCAAGCTGGCAACAGGAGTGGGGCCCCCACGGTTCTCACGCACCTTCTTCCGTTGACTCACGTTCTGCCAATCTTACATATTTATCAAAATGTAACGTGATGAAGGCCAAGAATGCAGGCTGTGTCAAGCCTACAACAGTCTGCTGTAAAGCAGGGAAACCATTTTGCTCTCACTTGCTGTGGGGAACCCCCGTATTCACAGCGAGCGAGCTTTCCCCTCAGCCTGCCTTCGAGTCGGGCAGTGCCCCCACACGCAGCAACGCAGCCCGGGCACCATCCAAGCAGGGGGAGAACTAAAACCTTGGATGTGGGCAGAAGGGAGGTGTGCACACATTCAATAGAAGAACGACAGTTCTTTTTGCCTTATGCGAAGGCCGGGGGTGCTTTAGCAGTTTGGCGAGCCTGTTCAAAGACATGAAATGTTTAAAGTACCTTCTCTGTCTAAGCTCGTGAAACTAGACTGCAGTGCTGGCTCATTCCTTCAGCTTCACATTTCTACCCATGCCCACTATGCATGGAAAGCCAGTGGAAAGAGCTCCCACCGCAGCCCAGTCTCTAGTTTCATTAAATGGAAGACTAGGCAGAAACGGTGGCTGTTGTCAGACATGCAGAGCACACAGCTGTGGGCCAGGCACCTCCCCATTGCTATGACCCTGACCCTCTGCCGGGGCCTTTCTTGCAGCCTGGGGGACTACAGGTGGGCCCTAGAGATGGGAGTCTTCCATGGGCTGGGCCATCCAAAGGTCAGTTGGCTCTGGCAGCGGATGCCAGTTGACCTTAGAGCTGTGCAAGGACTGGGGAGGGTGCCACCAGGCTATCCCTAAGTCACTTGGTTGAGCCATGGGAAATTGTCAATATTTGACCACTTAGATCCTCAAAAGTGGCTATTTCACATGGGTTCGACTTAAACTCTTTTTTTTTTTTTATGTTTTATTTATTTCTAGGAGAGAGAGAGAGAGAGACAGCGTGAGCAGGGGAGGGTCAGAGAGAGAGGGAGTCACAGACTGAAACAGGCTCCAGGCTCTGAGCTGGCAGTCAGCACAGAGCCCAACGCGGGGCTCGAACCCACGAACCGTGAGATCATGACCTAAGCGAAAGTTGGACGCTTAACTGACTAAGCCACCCAGGCGCCCCAAGGTTCGACTTAAACTCTTAATAAGGGGGGAAGAAAAGATAAGAAATGAAGCACAGACTCTTGTCCACAATAGATTCTATTCACTCTATTAGACGCAGAGTATGTTCCCTAGAATATCTCCCAATTCATCTTGTCTAAAGTTCAGTTAGGGGTTGAACTTTGTCTTAATTTCAAAAGATATGTTAGAAGTCCAAATCCTGATAATGTGATACTGTGAGCTTATTTGGAAATGGGGTGTTTATAGGGGTAATGAAGTCGAATTGAAGTCATTAGTGTGGGCCCTACCAATGAGTGGTGTCCTTAGGGGAAATGTGGACAGATGTGCTCAGAGGGAAGATGATGTAAGGACACATGTGAAGGCAGGAGTGATGCATGTACAAGTCAAAGTGCCTGAAGCTACCAGTGGGTAGAAGAGAGACTTGAGAAATTCCTTCCCTAGAGCTTTGAGAGGGAGCTCGGCCTTGTAGAAACGGGGACTCTAGACTTCTCTTCCCAGAACTGTGAGGCAAGGAGTTCCTGTTGTTTCAAACCACCCAGTGTATGGTACTTTGCTGGGACGGCGCTAATGCTACAGTCTGTATGTTTGTGCCCCGCCCCCCCCTTCTTATGTTAAAATTCTAATGCACACATGACAGTGAATTCTGTAAGTAATAAAGTGGAGCCCTCATGACTGGGATTAGTGCCCTCATAGAAGAGGATCTATAGAGATCGCTAGCCCCTTCCATCAAGTGAGGACACAGTGAGAAGGTGCCAGCTATGAGCCCGCAAGCTAGCCCTCACCAGATGGTGACTGTGCTGCTAACTCGATCCTGGCCTTTCCAGGCTCCAAAGCTGTGAGCAAAGATTTCTGTTGTGTATGAGTTACTAGGTCTGTGGTGTGTTGCTGTAGCAGCCTGAATGGATTAAGATACCTAGGAGAGAAATACAGGCTCCTTCCAGTGACGATAAACTATACTGTTGGTAAGACATAAGGGACAATTTACGTTAAAAATGGGACAGCTGCTTATTCTCTAGGATTAGGGATTCCTACAGGAACTAGCTGTGTTTCCTACTGTAGCCAAAAAGATGTGTAATTTATACAAAGCTTTGAAATTTATAACATACATACAGATACACGCACACACACACTCGTTCCTTCCTTTGGTTTTCTGGCATGTCCAAGTTTGTGGTAAGGGTTTCAGTGTGAGTTTTCTCTCCAGGCAGTAATGGGGCAGACGCCACGGTTGTGCCGTCTTAAGGAGCCCATTCAAAGTCACGTGAACCAGACACTTATTCTAAGGAGATACAAGTAAGCGCTGCTGTGTTAGAGTTCAGACGATGGCAACCGAGCTCCCACAGCTGTATTCTGAAGATGCACTCAGGAAGACCAGGATTGGGGGCGAGGGAGGGGGACTCATCAGCAGGTGAGCAGAGCAGCAGGGCACCACAGCTTCTTCTGGAGGAGGGGGAGCCTAACACAGACAGGTGTCGAATCCACCAGTAGCTCTTTTATGTCAAGCTTTTTTTAGGATCCAGCTTTACAAATAAACCTAAACAAACAAAATAACAGGAGATGATTGGTGATTCTAAGTCAACTGACTGCCATTGGATGGGACTTCTCAGAGCAGAAGCGTATACACAAGGAAAGGGATTTAGATTCGTGCTTGTGCCTTCCATCTATGGGTCTACTCTCATTTCTTAGTCAGATTAAGAATCAACTTCAACCATCACAACACTACAGCGCCTCTCTCCTTCTCCCAGTCCTCTCATTTGGTCATTTCATGGTTCATTACCGCTTCCATTAGAGATAGTCAGGAAAGCGAAAGGAAGTGAAATTACGACTAAGCTGTCTGGAACCTTTGCTACTGAAGATAGGAGCATACACCACAGCCTGGAATGGAGTTTTTAAATTGACTGTGGATTCCAATTATTCAGGATCTTTCTTCTGCTTCTCTTATCCATCATTTCTGCAAACAGCTGATACTTGGGGGGTGGGGTGGGTGTGGAGGAATACAAGACACAAAAGGCATTAACCATAAAGGAAGAAAACTTAATAAATGCAACTACGTTACCATGAAAAAAAAAAAACCTTCTGTTCATAGAAAAAGATATCTTAAAGCAAATAAAAGACAACTTCCATACCGGAAGGCGAAATGTGCAGCTTACATATCCAACAAAAGGTTTAATACAAAATATAGAAAGAACTCCTACAAATCAGTTTAAAAAAAAAGGAAAAAATAAAGCTGAAGAAACAGGAATTTCACAGAATGGGAACAAATCTGATCAACAGATACATGAAGAGATTTCATCTTCACAGGTGATCACGATCAGGAAAATAAAAAGATCATGCAGAGATAACATTTTATAACCATTTGACTGGCAAAAATTCAGAAGTCTAACTTTACCAATCGCCAGAGAAGATAGGGGTCTCGTGGGTCGCTGGTGGGAGAGTCATTTAGTGTAGTGTAGAAAACAAGCCAGTGTTCCCCTGTGAGGCTGAATACTCCCACACTCTGCTCCTGACTATACGCCCAGCTCTTGCCCATGAACACCACCAGAAATGCTCACAGCAGCCTACTCCTAAGGATCTGGGCCCAGCGTGATAAGGGGAGACAAATTCATGGTGGCGGAGTCACTCCATGGAATACGTACAGCAGGAAAAATGAGGCAACAACATGCCAACAGGGTGAACTTCAGCAACATGAAGCTGAATTGAAAAGAAAATCAACACCCAGGAAAGTACATGCAGTGTAATCTCTTTCTCACAAAGTTCAAAACAAACAATGAAACTCTATATTCCTGAGGTCCACACATATCATCTTGATAAAACTTACTAAAAAATAGGAAGGTACAGGCAAATATAATATTACCTGTTAATTATACTTTACCAAAACTCGGCGGGGAGAGGAGGAAGATGAGATGGGAAAGTAATGAGGTAGGGACATATATTAAGATTCTTGGGGAGACTGGGTGGCTCAGTCCGTTAAGCATCTGACTTTGGCTCAGGTCATGATCTTGCGGTTCGTGACTTCAAGCCCTGCATCAGGCTCTGTGCTGACAGCTCAGAGCCTGGAGCCTGCTTCAGATTCTGTGTCTCCCTCTATCTCTGCCCCTCCCCTGCTCATGCTCTGTCTCTGTCTCTTTCAAAACTAAATAAGCATTAAAAAAAAAAAAAAAAAAAAAAAAAGATTCTGGTTCTTAGTTGGTGGTAGGTTTCAGGGTGTTTATTATTAAATTAAAAACTAAACACATTAGTGAATGAATAAAAAAAAAAAATGACTGTTTCATGTACCAATGTGTCCTAACTCAAAGATTCTGATGAACCCAAACCTGGGGGTCCACATAACATTTGAGGTCCATTAAGATATAACAGAATAGGGGGGCGCCTGGGTGGCTTAGTCGGTTAAGCGTCCGACTTTCGCTTAGGTCATGATCTCACGGTTCGTGGGTTCGAGCCCCGCGTCGGGCTCTGTGCTGACTGCCAGCTCAGAGCCTGGAGCCTGTTTCAGTCTGTGACTCCCTCTCTCTCTGACCCTCCCCTGCTCGCACTGTCTCTCTCTCTGTCTCTCTCCTAGAAATAAATAAAACATTAAAAAAAAAAAAGATATAACAGAATAGGAACAAACAAAAAGCACCTAATGTCTAAATGAACTTGTCTAAATCTGAAGCTACAGAATGTAAGACTTCAGGGGCTCTTCCCTCGCGAAGGCCCTGTGAGCAGGGCTGCGAGAGCCTGAGGATGCAGTCTGGAAGCTCTCCTGGGAAACTGCCTGCAGAGACCTCAGAGGGAAGGGACCTGCGTATCCCTGATAGCAGCAGCATGGTGGGGTTTCTTTCCCCATTTGAAATAAAAACTCAGGTTCGTACCTAATTTTACATCCTTTGTCTTAAATTTCTTAAATTGTGCAAGCTTTAGGTAACATAAAACCTAGCTCCCGTGCTGCTAATCCACTGACATAACCACATCACAAGGTACAGGGGCCTTCGGATGGTCTCTCCCTCCAGCCTACTCGGCCCCCTTCCCAGAGAAAAGTGCTGTCTGTGTGGTGTTCCTGAAGATCTGTGTGGCCCAGGCATATACAGAGCCTTCCCCTTCACTCCCATGTATTACTTTGTATTTTGAAATGTCAAGCTGACAGAAAAGCTGTGAGACTAGTACAAAGAATGGTCTCATCCGGAACCACTGGAGATTAACCTGTCAAAATGTGGATAAAATGATGATATATGAAGTTATTCCTATTATACCTAAGAGCAAAAGACTGGGAAAACATTCATGTCCAAGATTTCCAATTCCAACCCAACATCATTCTAGTTTTCTCTCCTTCTGTACCTAGAAATGCCTTCTCTGATGGTAAAGAACCTGGCTCCCATCTCGGCTGCCGGCCTGTGTAGATGCCACTTTCCCCCGTGGGCTGACACCCCATGTGAGGCTGTGCCTTACCTTACTTGGGCTCTGACATTGTGCACTGGACACCTGCCTGTGGGGACACCCTCCCCACTCCACTCAGGCTCCAACATGGTGCCTGGGCCCTCACGGCCATTCGTCGCTGCAGTCTCCAGGTCAATCCAAGCCTACCATGCCCACTCTCCCTAACTGGTTTTGAGGTAAATTATTCAGGAAGGAAAAGGAAAAAAAAAAGGAAGATAATGCAAGGGGTCTCTCTACATTTTTCATACTAATGATAACCTATGACATTCGCTGTTCTACATTTGTGATTTTCATTCAACATACATGGAGATAGCTCTATAATTAAAAATTTCCTTATTCTTATTTATGGCACCACAATATTCCACAGAATTTTTTATAGCATACTCAACATGGCTGTTTAACCAACCATCCTCTTGATAGATGTCTATGTTTGGCCAATCCTGCTATTCCAAATTAACTTTTCGCAAATAACAAACGTAATTATAGTGACAGCAGAGCAACTTCTACATTGCAATTTTGCACACTTTAGTGGGATAAAATCCTGGGAATGGGTGAAAGAGCACACAACTTTGTAGTTTTGATAGATTTTGACAAGCAGCTCCCTACCAGTAATGTATGAGAATACCTTTAGCTTGTTTTTTGCATGATAGGGAATTGAGAATTTCTGGGCATTTGTGGGTTATAAAACCAAAGCAAAGCAGAAACAAAAAACAACCCCCCAAACCCCAAAGACAAAACCCCAAAAAGTCCAACCCAAACTGAACCAAACCCAACAAAGAGAGAATGACAGCTTCTTACTTGTTGCCTCCGAGTACAGGGTCTTCTCATCCACACTTTGGACATTACAAGAGAGAAACAATTTCCTCCCTTCAACTTTATCAACTTGGCTATTTATCACAACAACAGAATAAAGGGGGATAGGTCTGCAGAAGGAAAAAGGGAGACAAAATTAGTTTTTATCAGATTTATGTAACACTGAGGTGACTGAGTGCTTACGAAGGGCGGCTGGTATCAGCGTGTATGACAGACTGTCTCAGATAAAACACCCCTTTGCCTGGGACCCCAGCAGCTCTCCACACCCCTTCCTCCTGAGTGTCACTGACGTCAGGTGGTGACTGGGCACCTGGGCCTAGGCTGTTCTCGAGGTTAGGTGTGGAGAGGCCACCAGGGAGTCAAGCTGTCCCTTCTGAGGACCCAGAGCAAAGTCTGAAGGGAGCTGGAATCCTTTAAAGAAGTGAAAATGGGACCATGGGATGGTCCCATCAGTTCTCTCATTTTCTGTAATAATAAAGCATTTTCACCCAATCCCCTTTAGTGTGACTGTCACTAGAAAGACATCCAGTAAAAACAAATCACTGGTAACGCCTTATGTCCTAAGCCAGCGCTGTACAAAAGAACTTTCTGTGGTGACAGACACGTTCCACCTCTGAGCTGTTCAATACAGTAGCCACCTTCCTGAGGGTCCAAAAGGTGGCTACTGTGAATGAAAAGCTGAATCTTTACATTTATTTAAATTTAATGAATTTATATTTAAACTTAAATAGCTACATGTGACCAGCGGCTACAGTCACCTTTGGGAGTCCTTGGAGACAGAGAGCCAGGATGAAAAACAGACCTTTACAACGGTGAGATTTTATTTGGCAGAAACCATTAAGGCAGAGCAGGCTGTGCTCTGTGTTGCTCCAGTGCCCCCATGTGGACGAAGGAACTACTCCAGGTGGAATGAAAGTCCTAGTTGTTAACTCTGCCCAGTTTTCACTCCAATTAGCTTTTCCTGAACCTCTTGGTGAAACAACCAAGCTTTCCTTTCCTTTAAACATCTCTTTACATCATCTTTTATACTGTTTGTCTGATTACCATATCTTAAGTCCCAGAGGGTCTAAGTCTGTTAATTATCTTTCTGCTGATTTTCACTTAATGGTGGTTTACTTCTTCATGGCTTATTACTTTATGTATTTGGTACAGGATCTACTGCTCTAGTCCCCCAAAGGGGCACCAATTGACTGGATTAAATTTATAAGTATTACTATGATTATTATTATGAATCTAACAATGATATACAAAATATGAGCCCTGATAAATATTAAATTCTAAACTAAAGCTGATCCTTGAATAATGTGGGAGTTATGGGGCATTGACTCCTGCACAGTCAAAAATCCATGTGTAACTTTTAACTCCCCCAAAATTTAACTGCTAACAGTCTACTGCTACACAGAACCCTTACCAATTATAGGAGAAGTCAGTTAATACATATTTTGCATGTTATAAGCATTATATACTGTATACTTACCATAAGGTAAGCCAGAGAAAAAGAAAATGTTATTAAAAAATCATAAGAGCAGGGGTGCCTGGGTGGCTCAGTCCACTAAGCATCCAACTTAGGCTCAGGTCATGACCTCACAGTTCATGAGTTTGAGCCCCGCGTCAGGCTCTGTGCTGACAGCTCGGAGCCTGCAGCCTGCTTCGGATTCTATGTCTCCCTCTCTCTCTGTCCTTCCCGTTTGTGCTCTGTGTCTCTCTCTCTCAAAAAATAAACATTAAACAAATTAAAAAAAAAATCATAAGTGTCTGGGTGGCTTAGTCGGTTAAATGACTAACTCTTAATTTCTGCTCAGGTCATGATCTCACAGTTCCTTGAATGGAGGCCTGGAATGGACTCTGTATTGAGAGTGTGGAGTCTGCTTGGGATTCTCTCTCCCTCTCTGCCCCTCCCCCACTCACATGCGCCCTCTCAAATTAATTAATTAAAACATTTAAAACATAAAATGTTAAAATAAATAAATCGTAAGAGCAGAGGCACCTGGGTGGCTCAGTCAGTTAAGTGTCTGACTCTTGATCTCAGCTCAGGGCTGATCTTGGGCTTCTGAGTTCAAGCCCCACGTTGGGCTCTGCACTAGGCATGGAGCCTATTTAAAAAAAAAATCCCAAGAACAGACAGTCTCTCTTTGCTGTCCTGCCTACTGCTCCCTTGCAGCGTATTTAATAAACTTCTCTCTCCCTTGGGGGGGAAAACATAAGAGAAAATACATTTACAGACTTATAGTACTGTACCGTATTTATTGAAAAAAAATCCAAGTAGAAGTCAACTCATGTTGTTCAAGGGTCAAGTGTACTTATATTACCCCATGCTTTATTCTGGTCTTGAATCATCAACTAATGGAAGAGAATGAAGGATGTGTGCTGTAGGGAAGAGCAGAGTCAGAAGACCTCGGTTCTGATCCTGACCGTATCCGCTCTGTCTACACGATTTCACAGAAATCAAATTGTTTTTAGTAAATTTTCTAACTGTGGGTAACAAATGAACAGCAACAGAGCTGACGGATACAGATGGTTAGTTGGACAGGCCAAGGATTAATCATTGGGCCTGGCAGGGAGCATGGGCTGAAGACATAAACATTTGTTAAGCTAAATTACAAACCAAAACTTTGCTTGCTTTCAAATACATTTTTTTTTGGGAAGGAAGACTGTACTACATTCTACTGCTTTATCTGAACAAGGAAAAATATTGTAAAAACATGGAACATGGAAAGATATTAAAAACTTAATATATTCTTTTTCATGTTAAAAAGCCATTTCTAGGATTGAATTTTATAAAATAAATAGTATAAAATATTGACTATAAGTAAAGATGACCATTTCCCCCAAGTTAATCTTTTTTTTTTTTTTTTTTTTAAT